TTTTTTTTTTGAACCCCAAACAGAAGCCCCGTTTGTCTCTCGTGGGGGAGCTGGACACCCCACTCCCCTTGGATGGAGAGGGAGGAAGGGGGGCTGCTGGTGAAGGTGCCAGCTGCAGGCTCCGTTTTGTGCCCAAGACCCTGCACTTGTGACGTGCACAGATGGGAAAGGAAGTGGGGGGAGGGGGAGGGATGGGGTGGGAGACAGGTTATGGGGGCCTGGGAAATTAGGAAGACAGCTTCCTCTCCATAGGCGCTAAGCGTTGGAGCAGTTTCAAATTTTATTGGCTTTATTTGCATCCTGCCTTTAGTACTTTTTTTTTTTGCAAAAAAAAAAAAAACAACCTCCCCAGTTGCAGAAAAAGGCATCAAACTTAAATGTGATGCACTTCCTCCTCCTCTAATTTTCTACGTAACAGCAACCATGCAAGGTGGGCTGGGAGGAGAGAAAGGGATTGGCCCATTCATTCAGCTTTCCTGCCTAAGGCAGGACTAGAACTCGCCATCTCCTGGTGATGGGCCCAAAGTCACCCAATTAGGTGGGACTAGAACGCATTGTTTCCTGTTGATGGGCCCAAAGTCACCCAATTAGGTGGGACTAGAACTCCCTGTCTCCTGTTGATTGGCCCAGTCACCCAATTAGGCAGGACTAGAACTCAACGTCTCCTGGTGATGGGCCCAAAATCACCCAATTAGGTGGGACTAGAACGCATTGTTTCCTGTTGATGGGCCCAGTCACCCAATTAGGCAGTACTAGAACTCGCCATCTCCTGGTGATTGGCCCAAAGTCACCCAATTAGGCGGGACTAGAACTCACTGTCTCCTGGTGATGGGCCCAAAGTCACCCAATTAGGTGGGACTAGAACTCACTGTCTCCTGGTGATGGGCCCAAAGTCACCCAATTAGGCAGGACTAGAACTCCCTGTCTCCTGGTGATGGGCCCAAAGTCACCCAATTAGGCAGGACTAGAACTCCCTGTCTCCTGGTGATGGGCCCAAAGTCACCCA